TCTCGCCAGTGTGGGGAAGCAATAAAAAAGGCCAATAGAATGTTGGGTCACATCTCTAGGTGTGTGGAGTTTAACTCAAGGGAGGTGATGTTACATTTATATAATTCCTTGGTAAGACCCCACCTAGAATATTGTGTGCAGGTTTGGTCACGATACCTTAAGAAGGACATTGCTGCCTTGGAAAAGGTGCAACGGAGGGCTACGAGAATGATTCCTAGTCTTAGAGGAATGTCTTATGAGGAGAGGTTAGCTGAGCTGAATCTGTTTAGCCTTGAGCAAAGGAGACTAAGGGGGGACATGATCCAGGTGTATAAGATTCTAACAGGTCTGGATGCTGCTCAGCCAAATGGCTATTTCAATATTAGTTTAAATACTAGAACTCATAAGTAGAAATTAGCGGGAGGACATTTTAAAACAAATTTGAGGAAGCACTTCTTTACACAGCGTGTAGTTAGAGTATGGAATAGTCTTCCTGCTAGTGTAGCGGAAGCTAAAACCCTGGGTTCCTTTAAATCAGAGCTAGGTAAGGTTTTAAGAACTCTGAGCTATTAGTTCTCCCCAAATGAGCTTGATGGTCCAAATGGCCCCCTCTCCTTTGTAAATTTCTTATGTTCTTATCCCAGTAAGGTTATTAGAGTGGGGTGGTTACAGGTAAGGTGGCAGCAGATTGCAGCGCCCCTTATGGGCTACATAAATATTGTATACCTTGAATCTTCTCACTTCTTGAAGAGGTTTTTCTGCCAAATTATAATTCAACTAATATTGGTAAACAAAAGTGGGTATTTCAGATGATGTTTTGCTGTCCATTAAATAACATTCAGTTCAATTCTACTTTCAAAAAAGCGTCTGTATTACTCTACAGATTTTATGTACTAATTCTCTCAGTGGAAATATTCATTTCACAGTTCTTTGCATTACATTGAATGTTGAAAAGCTGGGAACCAGGCCGCAGATCTGGCATATGTTGTGGGGAATGGAATAATGGAGGCGATTTGTAATGGGCTCCTGCCCTAACCCCACTTACAGCATGCTCGGGCCAACTGCTCCCTCCAGGGCGGCGGTGTGTATGTTCCTGAGATGGCTGTTGCCCTTTAGAACTCTAAGACAGAAACCAAGCAGGAGACACAACATAAATACAGACAAGCTCAGCATTCAATGAAGGCTGCCTTGATTAACTCTGGCTAAGAAATATTGCTCGTGTTACAAAAATGTCACAGAATAATGATAAAAAAACCACTACCTGTAAGCCTAACTTGATCTTAGCTGAACAACATTTTAGTCCAGTGTATCTCAACCCGGTTCTTAGGGAGATGGGAGGGTCCAAAAACGCGGGCCTCCCCTGCGGGTCCCCAAGGACCAGGTTAAGAATCGCTGCTCTAGTCTTTCTGACATTTAGAGGGGTAGTTGGGGCAGAATTCTTGAACGATTCTCCTGTGAAGGTTTGACCCATTTCCTCAGCCAAATTGAAGTGCCTGTTTTTGTTTCTGCTCATTGCAGTGGGCTTTACTCAGACCAGACACGAGCATGATGCAGACTAACAATGGAGTTTGTCTGTTTGGACTTTCAGATCAGAGATGCACTGGCAGAAAAGTACATATGATAAACAACAAATCCCTCCAATCACTTGTTTTGTCTCGAAGGCGTTTATTTGCTGGTACACTGGGTCTTTTTGATTACACAACCTGCTGCCCCCAATAACGTGCCTTTGCGAATAACAATGGTTGCCTTGGATGCAACAGTAATGGTGGAGAGGTGACATAAGAGGAAGCTGAGCAGTGCCTTAACGGCCACTTTCCAGCCCTAAGCAGACGTGATGAAAATCGGTCAGGGTACCTACAGTTTATCCAGCTTGGTTCCATTGAAGGCGTGATTCTGTATGTCTTTAAACCCATTTCGGAAAAGGTTCCTGGAGTTTGAAAAACAAAATAGGGGAAAGGAGGCGAGCGGTTAATGAGCTACCTCGAGCACCGGATTTCCATTCGTATAATCTTGCATCTCCATTAGCTTGTTTGCCGTGACTTTCTGCGGGGTTAGCAAATGCATTTATTAATTGTAAACATTGTGCTCGTCTCGGAAGGCTTTGGAAGAGCAGGTGGGTGTGCGTTACTCTCCTGCCCCTCACTCACATGTGCGTGTACTCATCTGTCATGCCCAGGAAGGCGTTGGAAGGAATCGTGTCGATTTCCATGTTATCTGCCAGCTCCCTGCAGACACAAGATTGCAACAAGATTATTTATGGAGCCCCATTGTTTCGGCCCGTTTAACAAATGGTGTTTTTGGGTTTCAAACTCCATTTGAATCGAGTGGATATTGGTTTTCTATAATAGGCTTATTTTTGGGAAAAGGAACAATGTTTACTTAGGAATCTGCTAATGCAGGCCCACGGGAGCTTCTGAGACGGTCAGCTTATGACCCGTGAGTCACAGCATCTTGCGTAGATGAGAAGATGAGAAGCTGGCTGGAAATTTCTGTGGCAGAGAGCTAACATGCTGTATGTCACTTTACGTCAGGGTCTGAGGAAGCAGGCCTTGAGATGTGGGTGCCAATCACAGTTCGCTTCCAGTCAATGAGGGCCAATGAAGTGACCGATTGAAATTGGGCCCAATGGCTGACAGCCAATGCCCTTCCACCTAAGATCTTAAGCTATCAGCTGGACACATGATTTGAATGAAGTCACCTGGCCAGTAGTGAGGCTGGTACCACTTTACAATAAGGCTCCCTTTTGCCACTTATAAATGGTAGTAACTCATTAATAAGCAGAAACGTGTGTTATAACTTGTTTATAATTGTCTAGTAATGATTTACAAAGAGTTACAACTTAATTAATAACCTGCTTATAAACCATTCATAATCCCTTTATGAGGGTAGCCTTATTGTAAAGTGGCACCGTGAGGCTGTCAGGAGTGTATATGTGCTGTTTTTTCCAAGAAAAAAATTCTGGAAAATGATGTTGCTAAAAACATATACAACTGAAACTTCCAGAGACTTCAATATGTAGACATCAACTATTAAGTATCAGTTCCTAACTTCAGTGTATTCCTGTTGGTTTAGGAGAGATAGAGAGGCTGCCTATACTCCGACTATGGCTGTAAAATCCCTGGCTCTGCATAAAATCACTTGGTATTTTAAGTTATAGAGAGGCTGAGTCAGCATTCTGCAAACACTGAGGCTGTATTTTAAGCTGGAAATTGCGTTTGAGAAATAAAGGACCCAACCAGTCTGCTGCAACAACGTTTTCATACATGAGGTACAGCAACCCATTGATCCTGGGAAGGAAAGGCTTGCGTTGGACTTTTGTAAGAAACTCCCCTCAGCATCTGTTATTACGTCATTGAGCTGGTCAGTTACAGGTATCGCCTTTGGTTCCTTTTTAATGAACACGCGAGGTGTTCGGATAATTAACGATGTTAACGAAGCTGATAGATGGTCATGCCTTAAGCAGTGACATGGCCCTCCCCTGAGTGCTGACTCACCCGCGTTGTTATTCACACACAGGACATTCAGCAAGTCATTCTCTCACATTTCTCACGAGACACACAGATATTTGAATGAATTGTGCATTAATCGTGCACCGTGTTTAACAGAAGGCTGGTGGAGCAATTATTTCTAAAGGCTATGTGACTCTGAGCTGAGATGGCAATCTCTTCGGGCTGTTCCTTCTACTCACAGAAAGAAGTATGACTCTATAGAGGCAATAGTGGTGAGATCAGGAAAGTACCTCAGGCCTGTGTTACAGATGCTCCTGGACAAAGAGAGAACAGGAAAGACATGTACTCAGCTTCACCACTACCATCACATTCATTCCTTAATGTTCTTTACCAGCTGAGGTCCTCAGTGTCCAAAGGGAACTGTACACGCCACTGATAGTAAATGCTACCAGATTTGAAATTTCTGAGTAATCCAAGTTAAGAAATACTTCTGAAAATAAGAAAATGTCTTATTTGGTATATATATCCAGCAAACAATGAAGTTGAATGTGGAATTTATGGGATGTCAGTGCAATTCCCCTTTAAACACTGACATGTGTAATAGATTTGACCGGGGGTGGGCAATCTTATCCGCAAAGGGCCGGTGTGTATGCAGGTTTTTGGGATAACCTTTAGCTCGGCTGTTCAAACCCAGGTGTCAGGACTCTTCAGCCAATCAGTCCTCAAATTAGCAATCTAATCAGGGAGATGCGGTGAAAACCCGCACACACAGTGGCCCTCTGCGGATAAGACTGTCCACCCCTGGATTAGAGGTTAAAGCACAGTAACAAGGGCCTGCTAGTCTGTTACAGACATCTTTGACATCAAATCCCCCTGAAATTGAGTTATTTGGACAAAATCCTAATGCCCTGTATATTCCTCATGTAACAACATATACTGGAAAAGTTGGAATTACAAAAATTGCTTAAATCTAATGTTTGAGCATAATCGGTTGATTAGTGAGCAGAGATGGCTTATAAAATAAGCCCACTGTCCTACGCCAGGAGCACATCCTTTTCATCATTTTACAGTAACTCCACTTTGGACACAAATGGGCCAAATTTAAAAACAGTGACAAACTCTTACAAGTACTTTAGCTTGGGTAGGTCAGTGAAGGCGCCTCTTTCTATGGCCTCCAAGTTGTAGACATTCTGTATCAGCCTGAAAGAGAGATAGTGACAGGGATTGAACCCTTAAACCAACAGCTTTCGATGAATCTGCCTCGCAGTTTTACTTACACAAAAAATGTACTGAAGGTAGAACGAAAAATTATTGGTTCAGAGAGAGATCCAATCAGATTGTAGAGGAGGCGGGTCCTAGCAACTAGAAAAGGCAGGACAAAGACATTTGATTGGTTGGTTCCACCTCCCCTAGTTGCTTGAACTCACCTCCACTTCAATCTGATTGGTTCAGAGGAAGAACCGATCATTTTTCATTCTGCCCTCAGAACATTTTTATGTAAATTAAACACCCATAAGCATGAATCTGTTCAATTTTAATAGACATGCTGAGCTAACAGATACATGGACTAATGACTACAGCTTCTAAGGGGCCAATGAAAAGCTTTCTCACACACAACCTAGCTGTGCTAAAATGCTAAGATCCAAGGTAATGCTTTGCTGGAATAATGTCAAGATGGTGAGTGATTGTGATGCAGGGCATACTTACATTTCTGAGAGACTGTGCAGTGACAGAAAAGCTTTGCCCTTTATTCTCCTGAGAGAGGCGCTCTGCAGTATCTCGCTGTCGTGGGGACAAACAGCAATCATTGTTACTGTGAGCTCCAGCGGAGGTATAATTTAACGGTGGCTTGATCGGCTTTCCTAAAATTAGCAAAATTCAAGTCACAAGGCCGCGTGTTTAATTACTTGCTTGATACTGTGAACATCTATAACAGCAGTACCTGGGATTGAGTGTCCTCAGTGCTTTTCTTATTTAACAATCACTCTAGAATATTTATTTAAAGTTACCGGAACAATAATGTAATAATATTTCTGTATCACTCTCTCCCATGTGTCAAATGAATTAGTTTGAAAGTGTCTCCTGAAACAGATCCCTTAACAGGGATGGTCGAAAGACCCGCTGTAATAATTGACCTCTTGGCACATGAGAGGATTTGCATTTAATCAAAAGTCAAAGTGGCTTTAATGCATGAATGAGCAAAATAAAACTTCACACAAGGTTCTTAAAAAAAAAAGAAAGAAATCTGGTGTCTCCTTGATGGTTATTTGTCATTACCCCCCCCCCCCCCCCATTTCCTCTCCCACTTCTTTGTTATTAATATTTGCTCTCTATTTGATTTATATTTGATTATAGATATACCACTTAAAGACCCCCTGCTCATGCTATGTTTTGCTGAATGTTTTTTTAGCTAAACTGGCGGATGTTAAGCAATCTGATTCATACCTTCCCATGTAAAATGTTACAAGTGATCTCAGCCAAGGTAACTTTGTTATGACTCTGGTGTGGCATACACTGCACACAGAACAGGTTCCGGATGAGTTTCTTCGAGCATTCGGTCATCTCTGATGAGCTCACAGTACTGCGTAAGAATACAGTGACAAAGCCTAAATATCTTTCAGCTAAAAGGTTCAACATAGTGCATTTTACCCTTGGCATGAAAACCCTAGAAATGTGGGACCTGAAATTTTGGATGCCATTCTCAACCACGCATGCATGTTGTATATGAACCGGACTATTTGTGACCACTGTCTTGACTTAACTGTGTGTGTATATCTACTGTATGCATCACAGCCAGAGTCAAATTCCCTTGGTGTGTGAACATACTTAGTCAAAAAAATGATTCTGCTCTCTTTTAGCATCTCTTTAAGGAGTGATGTAAAATTGGACTGGGCACCATATCCAGTGTTGGGCATTTCAGATCTAGTAGCTACAGATCCAGACCAATATTTTGTTTCTACCAACCAGCTGAGTACTGTGTACACAGAGTACTGTGACTATTACTTTTTATGCTCAATTGGTTAGTAGAAACAAAATCCTGTTCTGGATTTGTAGCTGCTGGATCTGAAATGATCATATCCAGGTAAGAATCACTTGTAAAATGAATTTGTTATGACTATGATTATAATCCAAGTGAACACAGGAAACTAGCACATGCTAAGTAGCATTGTTTATCACATTGTAATGGCGTTGATATTAGTAGTTCAAATGTAGACTTAAAAATATATCTACCAGACCCTGACAGGTTTTAGGAGAAGGATCAGAAAGTTATAAATCCTACTAACAGAGCATCACTGGCTGACACTTCAGAAGAGGATAGAGAGTTTAGTTTATGAACACAAACTTTAGCAAACTGTTGCAAAAGCACTGTAAAATTTTCCAGACTTGAAAGGGAATTCTCATTCTTTGAACATCTGCTGTGAATCTACTGGGAATGAACATGAGGAAGGTAGGACTGACAAAATGTCAGTGATTAGGGTACCAGACCAGCTTGGTAGGCGGAGGTGCATAGTCTGTGACCAGTGTTCAACAATTTAGAGTCGTTTTCCTGAAACAGGGATGTGAAATCCTCTGTTGCTCTCTTTGCCACACAGTAACATTTGCAACGTAGACCCAAGACCGGCCATCCCAGGTCCCAGTCCTGCAGATGGACTTTCGTTTCAGCTCTGCCCTCAGACGACATCACTGGCATGCTGAGTGACTCCACTCGCTAGGCAGGGTGACACACTGGACAGGGCAAACATTCACACAGTGTGTGGGCTCCAGTTCACTTACCTGCATGCCTTTGGATTGTGAGGAAACTGGAGCACCCAGACGAATGTCACACACACAGAGCGGGGGTGGGAATTCAACCCCCAACCCAGGAGGTGTGATGCAACACTGCTGCCTATTGTGTCACCTGATATGGTAAATTTACTGCAAAATGTCTTACGCACAAATTATATAACCAATCTATATAATACTCACCTAATTTAAATATGCCTGACAAAGTCAGCAATGTTCAATTTTCACTGAAATCCCCCTGTACTTTCACCACAAAGAAACAAATTGCTTAAATGATGTTTTTAAATAAATGTGTTTAAAAAAATGACATTACCGTGTTAGAATAGTATGATGAATCCATTCATCTTCCAGCCCCTTAAGTCAGTGTTTCCCAATCTGGCCCTCAGTGACCAGCAGACCACAATTTTGCTCCCTACCAGGAACTGAAAGGGAGCAAAAACATGGACTGTCTGTGGACCGGGGACCAGGCTGGGAACAAGAGCCTGATTTTAGGCAGTGGTGACAAATGTTGACGCAAATTATGGGTAGAAAATGGAAAGAAAAAGGACTCTGGATGGTGTCATGGACAGAATGCATGCCGGACCTTTCTAGGGAAAGTACGGGAAGCGTGAATGAAATTCCTACCCTGAAGTGTTTCATTAGTACTAAAAAACAGCAATTGAAAGTTCATTTAAAACCAATGTTAGAGGAGTCATCAAAACACGAACGCAGCACAGGAAATAAAATGCTATGTTTATGTTCTGCTTTCCAGATGGTTGAATGTTCCATCTACTTCAAGCACATGGGTGTTATGAAAACCTGAATCCGCTCCCACTAGCTGCTCGCTGGAGTGTTGTCAAAGCAATTCTAATCGCCGAAGGCAATAAGTTTAACTGCGTATTACGCTAAGTCAAATTCCCACTACGAAAACCGATGTTTTTAACGCCGTTTGTTCAAAACGGCTCCGCTTAAAGGAGCCAGCTACTCATTCGGGGATTACGGAATGAAATCCTGCATAGTGTGCGCACATGGTACCATTATTCTGAAACCCATACACATCAATCAAGAGTCCATCTGTAACATTATAACTGAACTATTTAATCAGCCCTCTTTGTGCAGTATTTGTGGGTGTAAAGTGGACGGCCATCCGGTACGATGCAGATGGTATAAGATATATGTCCTTCATGAATGATTTGAAATTTTTCAACAAGTATTTTAAGTCAACAATATTCTTGGTTACTGCACTGATTCCTTTCAGTTTGTCCATATTGTATAGTCTATATTTAAGAAATATCCATCCATCCATCTTCTATACCCACTTGTCCAATTCAGGGTTGTGGGTGTCCAGAGTCTATCCCAGAAGCTACAAGAGCAAGTACATGAAATATATCCATCCATTTTCTGAAACTGCTTGTATTATTTAAGGTCACACGGGAGTAGGATCCTATCTCAGAGACTAAGGGCACAAGGCAGGGAACAACCCAGAACGGGGCGCCAACCCATCACAAGGCACACTCACACGCCATTCACGCCTACAGGCAATTTGGTAATGCCAATTCACTTTAGCATATTCTTGGACTGTGGGGGGAAACTGGAATACCCAGAGGAAAGCCGGCGATGACATGGGGAGAACATGCAAACTCCACACACATGGAGTCATGGTCCCAGAGGTGAAGGTAGGAGTATTAACCACTGCGCCACCAAGTGGCCTGTAAGAAACGTATAACATTTTAATTATTTAAATACGTATTAATTTTAATAGAACATAAAATTGCAATTTAATACATGCATTTAATGCATTTTAAAACAAGGGGGACAAGAAAGAATCCATCAATCATTCTGAACATATCTTTCATTCTTCTCCCTATACTTTTATCTTAGATTTCATAATTGTACAATGTAAAACTGTACAGTATGTTGTTTGTATGTTGCATGGTGCTATGTTGCTACTAGAAACTGAATTTCCCGAAGGAACCTTCCCGGGGTATCAATAATGAAGTAAAATAATAAATTTGACTTCAAATGCACTGAAGGTTCAGAACCAGAAAAGGAGATTCATATCAGAATTATCATGTAAAATGTTTTAAAATAATGTCATGCAGCATGGTGATTCAGTGAGTAGCACTGTTGTCTGAGACCTCTCAGTCCGTGGGTTTGCATATTAATAATTGATACTTTTATTGATCCCCATGGGGAAATTGTCTTTTTTCACCTCCCTCAACTTGCTCTCTGTAGAGTAAGCTGTCCGCAAAGGGCAGCCACCTGTTGGGTTGCCCAGGGAGCTGGGGGTTAAGGGTCTTGCACAAAAACCTGCAGACATGCTGACACTGGGTTTGAACCAGTGACCTTCTGATTACAGGCACAGAGGCTTAGCTCACTGAGCCACACACTGCCCTGTTTTCATCCCTGTGTTTGCGGGGTCTGCATATTCTCCCTGTCTCCTCCTCTGTGAGTACGGGGTCTGCATATTCTCCCTGTCTCCTCCTCTGTGAGTACGGGGTCTGCATATTCTCCCTGTCTCCTCCTCTGTGAGTACGGGGTC